TTTGCAGAATATTGAGTCTATATCATGTGCTCTGATATACACTGGGGGGAACAGAATAAGAAAATTTGTTCCTCAAGAAGGGTAATATGTGAATAAAAAACAAGGACCCACACCCAAAACCATCTGCAAAGATGAGGGCTCTCACCAACTTTTTTTTTTTTTTTTAAAGAAAGCTGGGGCTACTCATTTCCTGTGTTGGCTGTAGCAAGCTACCACAAATGATGACTTAAAACCAAGAGTCCTCTCATTGTTTGGAAGCTAGAAGTCTAGAATCGGTATGTTCTCAGGGCCAGAGTGTAGGCAGAAGTTTCTGTCCCTCGAGCCACTCCCAAGTAACCATACAGAGGCTTAATTTTAATTATAAATGCTCAGGCTTGTTACTAGCTAACTCTTACATTTAAATTAACCCATATAACACATGGCTTGGTACCTTTTCTCAGTATGGCATGCCCATCTTGTTTCTCTTTGTGTCTGCTCACAACTCTTCACTCCTCCCTTCTTCTTCCCAGAATTCTTGATTTGACTCTTATGCCTAACCTTATTGTCTCCAACTACTGGGCAGTTAGTATCTTTATTAAACCAATCATAGTGACATAGTCACACAGTGTATTGGAATATTCCACACCAGAGGAATTCTTGCCAGTCACAGCTCCGTGGCAACTGGAAACCCTTTCTGTCCCTTAGCAGGCAGGTAAATTACTCTTCTCTCTGCCTCTCTCAGTTTGCTCAGACTACTATAACAAATGTTAGAGACTAGATCACTTACTAACAAAGACCTTTTTTGCTCACACTGCAGGAGGCTGGAGATCCAAAGTCAAGTGACTGGCAGATTTAATACCTGGTGAGAGTTGTAGCCACTGACCCCATGGGTCAGGAAGGCAGAGCAGAGAACGGAAGACAATATTCAAGCAGTTTCCCTCACATCACTTCTGACCTAGCTCCTCTTCCTCATCTCCTATTTTTCCCTTTTGGAATGACAAGGCGTCTCTTATTCCTTGCCCATTCTCTGATTTTGGAAACACAAAACACATCTTTGGTTTTCCACATTCATAATTAGAAAGGAATTTTGGCACGACCCGATTACACAAATCTCACTGCTGTCTGATTTCGATGAGGTGGGTGCATCTTAGATGTTGCAGCTAGGATCTCTGGAGCTGTTGAGGTGGAATAAATATGGATTTGGGGGTGTTTGGTTACTTTTCTGTTACTCTTCCAGAATAGTCATGACCAAAATCAACTTACAGAAGAGTTTATTTGTGCTTACAGTTCCAGATGGGGAGTCTATGACGTCCAGGAGGCATGGCACGGCTGGAGCAAGCATGGGTCATGATCTGGAAGTTGAGAGATATCTTCAACCAAGAGCAGGAAGCAGAGAGAGCAAGCTAGAAGTAGAAAAGGCTAAAACCTCTCAATGTCCACCCCCCAGTGACATACATCCTCCAGCAAGGCTCCAAAGGTTCCACCATCTACCCTAGCAGTGCCACCAGCTGAGGACATTTCTCATTTAAACCACATGGGTTTTGTTTCTTTTATTATATGTGTGTACATGCACACACACACACACACACACACAAACGTGCACACACACACACACAAACACACACACCCATATGTATACATGTACCATGTGTGTCCCAGGGACCAATCTCTGGTCATCAAGCTGGGCAGACAGGCAGCAGATGAAACACCTCTCTGCCCTAGAATAAATGTTTGGCCCTTAACAAGAACATAAATTTCTGAGGTCCAGCAGTGGAATACTAGGGCCTGAATATTTGTACTCTTTTTTTGGGGGGGGGCGGAGGAAATGGTTTATTCAGTTTACACTTACATATCACTGTTCATCATTGAAGGAAGTCAGAATAGGAACCCAAACAGGGCAGGAACCTGGAGTCAGGAGCTAATGCAGAGGCCATGAAGGAATGCTGCTTACTGGCTTGTTCCCCATGGCTTGCTCAGCCTGATCACCCCCCCCATTTTTTTTGGTTCATCGTTTATAAAGAAATTAAATATTAAAGTAAATCTGTTGACAGTATATTTTGGCTATAATACAATTTAGTGATTTTTGTTCCATTTTTAGAAAATGTACATTTTTATTATTTTTTTACATGTTGATCCCAGTTCCCTGTCCCTCCTTCCCTCCCTCTTACCCTCTCTCCCCCCTCACATGCACCCTGACCACCCTCTCCTCCCATCCCTCCACCCCCATTCCACATGTAGGGCAATGCCATCCAGGTGGGGTCATGTAGATCTGTCAGGTTACTTGAAGTAGGGACTAGGACTTCTCTCCTGTCTCTAGGTTAAGGCAGTATCCCTCCATGGGGGATGTGTCCGCAAGGTCCTTTTGTGCACCAGGTATACATCCTGGCTCCACTGTCTGAGGTCCCTTAGACTGCTCAGTCCTTCTAGCTGGGACCCATATTCAGGAGGTCTGATTCAGTCCCATGCTGGATTCCCAGCTATCAGTCTGGGGGCCCATTAGCTCTTCCTTGTTCAGGTCAGCTGTGTTTATGTGTTTCTGCAACCTAGTCTTGTCCTCTCTCTCTGAATCTGGATTCTAATTCGACTCAGTGTTTAGTTATGGGTGTTTGCTTCTGTTTCCAACAGGTACTAGATGAGGGCTCCATGATGGTGGATAAGTTAGTTGTTGATCTATCAGGGAAGGGCATTTATGGTAGCCTTTCCACGGTTGCTCAAATTGTTAGTTGACAGCAGTCTTGTAGGTCTCTAGACCTTTCTTTCGGTTCCATTTTCTCTCTTAACAGCTCACATGTTAAAACGCTAATCCCAATGTGATACTATGGTTTGGTTGTAAAATATCCCCAGAAACTCATATATTCCCAGATGGGAGTGCTATGGACAGATCCTAAGTGTGCTGTTGTCATCATAGATCAATTGATGAGCTCATAACTGAGTAGGACCTAAGTGGAGTCAATTGTGGTGTACTTTGAAGACTGAGGAGTAATGCTATCCCTAGACCTTTCCTGTCTCCTTTGGCTTCCCAGCTGCCACATCTTAGTTCTGCCATCTCCTCCTCACCATGATGGTGTCTTGGCACAAGTCCAGTTACAGAGTCAAGTAGCCATGGACTGAAATTGTGAGCCACAAGGTATCTTTCCTTCTTGCAAATATACTCAGGTATTTTGCCACAGCAACAGGAACCTAACATATATGCTATAGGTGGTATTTGGAAGTGGGGCCTTGAGGGGAATGACTGACTCATGAGCAAGAACCCCCCTGATGGCATTAATGTTCTAAGAGACTAGGAGCTTTCTTGCTTTCTCCCAGGAATAGGGCCTGCAGGGGTCTTAGCCCAGCCACAGAACGCTGAGCTGGTCCAAGGAAAGGTAAGTGCACTGCTTGCCCCCCTTTCCCAGCCTCTCAGAATCCGGGAGACAATCAGACACAGCAGAGAGTCTAATCAAGCAGGAACTCATTTATTGTCCCATGGCAAGCATCTTTTAAAGGAAAAACCACAGAGTGGGAAAATAGCCAGCCTATCACTCACCTAGGCACCCTATGCTTTACCTAGTGAACATGACCTGTTCATGCAATGACTTCATCTGGTTCAATCTAGGCAACCAATCATCTTTTTTTATAAACTACTCAGGACTCACCCACCTAACTTCCCCTCAGTGCCATCTTTGACTAGCTCGTGAGCTCTTCAGGGCCCTTATCACAGCCTGCACACAGGCTGCACCCTGATTTTGACTACATGGTGCTGAGAACTGTGAAAAATGTCTACTGTTTAAGTCATCCCACAAAACCTTTTAAAGCATTCTTTCACTTGATTGATCATGTCCTCTGGGACAAAAACATCGTTCAGACTGCCATAGTCTCATTTGTCAAGTTTTGGGTTTGTTGCCTGTGTTTTGGTATCAGAAATACTCATATATGGATTTCAGACATAGAGCAAAGGATCACCAGCCTATAATTCACACCACCAGAGAAATAGGATACAAGGAGGAACCTAAAAGATTCACGCAAGGTCCCTCACAGAAGGGGAAAGGAACAAGATCTCCTGAGCATATTGGGGGGAGGCAGTGAGTGGAGTGGGAGCTAGGAGAGAGAGAAGGGGAAGAGAGGAAAGCACGTGGGACTAGGAAGATTGAGTCAGGGGACGAATAGACAAGAGAAAAAGAGAAAGAGAGAGAGATACCACAAAAGATGAAGTCATTATAGGTTTGAAGAGAAAACTGACTCGAGAGAAATGTCCAGAAACATACAAGACTGACTCCAACTAACAATCTGAGCAACAATTGAAAGGCTACAATAAATGCCCTTCCCTAATAATGAGATTGATGACTAACTTATCTTCCATCATAGAGCCCTCATCTAGTAGCTGATGGAAACAGAAACAGACACCCACAGCTAAACACTGAGCTGAACTAGAATCCAGATGCAGAGAGGGAGGAGTGGTAAGAAAATGGGAACAAGACCAGGCTACAGAAACCCACAGAGACAGCTGACCTGAACAAGGGGGAGCTCATGGACCCCCCAGACTGATAGCTGGGAAACCAGCATTGGAGTGACTCAGACTCCCTGAACATGGGTCTCAGTTAAAAGGCCTGGGCAGTCTAAGGAACCTCTGACAGTGGAACCAGGATGTATCCTTGGACTTTGGGAGCACATTCCCCATGGAGGGATACTCCCCTAACCTAGAGACAGGAGGGAGGGCCTAGTCCCTACTCCAAATGACTTGACAGATTTTGATGATCCCTCCTGGAAGGCATTACCCTCCCTGTGGAGGTGGGGGATGGAATGGGAGGGGGAAGCATGACAGGGAGGGAGGGAGAGAGGGAGAGGGAACTGGGATTGATATGTAAAATAAGAAAAAATAATAATAAAAGAAAAAGAAAAAACAGAAATTACTTAAACATTTGGGATTTAGATGGTCAAGAAAAATGCAGACATAATAGATTTTTCTCATGCTCCACTAATACAGTTAAAATGATCATGATCGTGTTTGTTTATTCTAAGAGGAACAGATATAGTCCTATTATTTATTATACCAGGATGGGCTGCAGAGCTCCATTATGTAAAGTTGCCTTACTCTGGGGCTAAAGCACTATAGCTTTTCTTTGTCTTTATTATTGTGCTGTTAAAGTAATAGCATCCAAGGATTAAGAACACCGATGCTCAGAATGCAGAGGATCCTTGCTTGGCTCAATGACAGTTCAACTCACAATTTAATTTTTCTATATGCACTTTATTATGGTGCAAAAGGAAGATACAGCCAATAGAAACTGTACTTCAGACAGTGACTCTTTTCCAGGCTAGTGATGCACAGGGCCATGCTCTTTGCCAATGCTGAGCAGCCACAGGAAGCTCAGGCTGTCAGTCAGCACAGCCACAAGATTAAGATGTTCTACAATTTACATGGATTTAAGGCATTTTTTTTTTTTTTACTCACAATGTTTTGAATTCACAATGTGCATCTGGATGACACGCTGTTGTAAAACAAGAATCATCTACAACAGCAAGCACACAAAATTCTCCCAAGATTCCTTACAATTCTAACAGAATCACTCCTTTCCCAGGTGATCTTGGCCACCATTCTAACACTAGATGGAGTGAATACAACACCCGAGAACTTAGCAACAGCATAATAATCATACAAACCCACGTCAGGGGAAATACTTCTGGTACTAATAATTTCTAGTTGCAGGGGAAGTAAAATTTCTTCAAAGTTTAATGATAGGTTTTTACTGGGTTTTTTGATTGTTTGTTTGTTTTTGTTTTGTTTTTAGTTTGATTTAGGTATTATTTTTGTATTCAATGCCAGTCCTTGTTGGCTGGGTAACTTTAGATGAGTATTTTAAGTTCCCTAAATCCTATCTTTTCCCCCTATAACATGAAGACAATGATACACACTGTGAAAACTGGATGACATGAGAAGCAAGCGGTCACTTCTCAATGTCAGGGAAAAAACAACCTTAACTGTGGCTGAGGCCTCAGGTGACCTGTAGTGAGTGGCACTTGCCTTGCCAGTGAACTTGTAGCAGTGACCACATCCTTTGGGCATGGTTTCAGGTACAGACAGATATGACCCATTGATAAGGTAGAGGAGGGGATGGTTCATGCACTCTTGAGTATCCGAGAGCATCAAAAGAGCAGAGACTGCATCTTCTGGAGTAGGAAGACCTCAGTGGTTATTTTCTCTTATCTGTGTAAGTCCTTACCTAATAAACACCTATGTATCATTTGTCTTGGGTCTGGCTAACTCATTTAAACCCCCACCTTCAGTGACCTTTTGCCTTGCACATTTTACAAGCTCTGTCTTGAAGAGGAATGTGTCCGAAGAAGGTCCTATAATGTCGATATGTGTGCTGTGAAGATTAATCAAAACCCTAAGATATCTGTAACAGAGATGCTCACAAGCCCGCTTAATATTTCTTTTCTCTCCATCTCCCCTTCCTTCTAAAACTAGTGTCTCTTTTCTGAGCTCAAGCTGGAGGTCCTGGGCCCACTCTTCAATGAGCTCTTTCACGTGTCTGACACTGCTAGAACGAGACCCGTCATGAGCATCCTGTAGACAAATGGTGGTGACATCACCATCCACCCTCTCCTGACACAGGATATGGTATTTGCTCAGTGTTAGCTCATAAAACTCACACTTGTGTTTCAGGTAAAAGAAAGTATCTGTGTCAAGCACAAGTGTTCCTTGGCTTCTGGCAGCCTTGGGTACAGAGGTCCCAAGTGCCGCTGCAGAGTTCTTGCTTCTCTGTAGGATACTTCCAGGGTTCTGTCTATTTTGATTTCTCCTTTCGCCGGCACACTTCCTGTGGTTTTCTAAAGGGGAGATGGCTTTTGATATCAAAACCTGTTTAAGCTTCATGATAGCCAGAAATGAACCTTTCACAGAGATCTTCCCACTGGGTCCCAATGGGCTGAAGTTTAAAGTTGGGATTTTCTTTTTCAGATCCATTACCAGGCTTTCTAGCACAATTTGAGTCCGAAAAACAGACAGATCCAGAATAGCCATCACATAGTTGAAGACCTAAGATGAGAAAGAGAAAAGTCAAAACAGCATGGCCTAGTGGAGCAAGCACCAGAAAACATGACTTCCTGTCATGCTTCCCATCTGGACTGCGCTTGCTCTGAGTCAGGCCTGGGTGGCCAAGCCGAGCCTCCACAGCTTCTTGCTCTAGATCACCCCTTTGAGAGCCAACACTGCACACTGCGGATTCACAGCCCACACCACACACCCCCCAAAAAATGGAGGGTAAAAAATAGTCTGAGACAAAAATGCTATTTTGAAACACAGTGCTTTTTAGAACCCACCAATATATACTGTTGGCATATGCTCCACAGACAGACAACCCTCTGCAGTAAGGTCTGCCATACCCCTCTGTCTCCCAGAGAGACAGCTGGCTATACCATAGCCCAGGGTCTCTAAAGAACGTATGTAAGAACTAATACTTTGGATTTTAACTTTCATTCTTGTCCCCACCTTCCTTGCTCCTTCAAAGTTCCTTTTTAATAGTTATCATAAGTGCCCCCAGTATAAAACCTTTAACCAGGGCTGGGAAGATGGCTCAGAGGTTAAGAGCACTAACTGCTCTTCCAGAGATCCTGAGTTCAATTCCGAGCAACCACATAGTGGCTCACAGCCATCTATAATGAGATCTGGTGTCCTCGTCTGTTGTGCAGGCATGCATGCAGGCAGAACAAACACACACTGAAATATAAAAACAACATGTCTAGAGGCAGCTTTTGCCTTTGACAACTGAGAAGTTTCTACTTCCGTTCCTAATATGTCATGGGGCAAGAGCACTTTGTGTGCTTTGGGAGGCAAGACCTCCCAGAAGAAATGGGGCCCAGGCCTCAAAACACAGGCCAGGCCCACACTCACCTTTTCACTGAAGTGAGAGACTGTGAGCTGAGGCTTTGAAGCCAGAGGGTATTTCCTTTGTCTGATGATATTCTGTGCAACTGTGGAAACATTAGCATCAAAAGTATTTGTAGCCTGACACACCAATAATTTCCTTAATTTACATAAATGGAGATGTTCCATTGTTTAGAAAGTGAGGTTTTTGCTACACTTTTCTTGTAAACCTCACATTCAAAAACTTTTCCCTTGTGCTTTAACATACTAAAGTTTGCCATAAACGTGTTAAAAGAGGTTCCTAATCCTATTTTTAAACACACATAAGTACTTACATGAGTAAAAAATAATACCTGAGCCAGTCCTCCAAGCCAGCCACTCGAGTCAAAGATTGCCTCCAGAAAATGCCCAAGTTTTTCTCCTAACTCACTGCTAATCATTTCCCCCTTCTCTGGCAAACCCAGACCTCAGCCTCTTTGCTGACTATAACCACCCCATAGGTAATCTCAACTTCTATAGCTTTAGACACCTCTACATGTATCACATCCAAACTTCTGCCCCTACCTCATCATCCCAACAGGTGTCATATCAAGGACAGCTGGCATCTTGTTTGGTGTTTCCTGAACATACTAGACCACTGTCTTCCACATCTCCAAAAACAAAGTTCTGAACATTCACCTGCTCTGCTATCCCCCCACACTGCTCCAATCCTCAGTCCTCTACTCACAATACAATGGTTCCCACCTAACCAGAATACAACCCAGAACCCTTGCCTGGACCTTGGGCTAGTCAACACACATGGTCCCAGCTCCCACTCCGTCCACATGCACACATTCCACTCCTGCCACAATGGGCTCTTTCCTACTTCTCCAAATATGTAGCATGCTTCCCTCCTCCCCTTGCTACACTAACCTAGCCAGGACTTTTACCTTCATTTATCCTAGAATGCTCTTCCCCATCATCCACATGAATTCCTTCCCACCCCCTACTCCCACCCTCACCTCTTGCTTCATTCTCTATTCAATTTTTACATAAACAGACAGTTTCAGATCTGGGAACATAGCTTGTTGGTATGGCACATATCGTGCTTGCATAAATGAGACCTTGGGTATTATCTATCCCCAACATGCCTCATGTACATGAAAGTTTGGATGTGATTCCCAACACATAAATACACAGACACAAAGACACACACAGAGAGAGAGAGAGAGGGAGAGAGAGAGAGAGAGAGAGCCAGACAGGCAGAGACAGACACAGAGAGAGACAAAGAGAGAGAGAGAGATCTGGTGATGCAAGCTTGTAATCCCAACTGTTAGGGAATTGAAGCCCAAGGATCTCAGTTCAAGGCCAGCCTGAAGAGCCTGGTTAACATGATGGAATTTCATCTTGTGCCACAGCAGGCATGAGTGCTTTCTTCTCCTCTAGAGGACTTGAACTCGGTTCTCAGCACCCACATTCAATGTTTCACAAGCACCCGCTGTAACTCCAGCTCCAGGGAACCCAACTCCCTCATCTGGCCTCCTCAAGCACCTTTTTACACACATATAACATTCATACACACAAATACACACAAACACACACACCATAAAATAAAAATAACATAAATAAATTTTAAAATAAAATATTAAAAGAGCAAAAGAAATTTTCCCCCATAGTCTACCCAAAACAGTGCAACTTTATCTACTATTATTTATCCTTTTTTTGTAGCATGTCTATGGTAATATATAAATGTAAACAACTATATAAATATAAATGAATCACAAACCTATTTATTATACGTAAGCTGACCTAATAAATGTCTATCCCTGTTGATGCACACTTCATGAAAACAAAGACTCCTATTCCATTCATGGTTATATTCTCAACACCTAGAGTAGTGTCTGGTAATAGCTGCATATAAAATACCAACTTACACAAACACTACCATCCCTTTAAAGATATAAAGAGCCCTTGCCCCAATCCCATCCCTGAGCATGACTATTAAGAAGGAATGGCTCAGCTGTTAGAAACAGTCAAAGTGTACTGCTGGTCCAATATCTAGAATTTCTAGACATTTTCTTCCCCTTCCAAGAGAGCAAGAGCCTTCTCTTAGCTAACACACCTGCATGGAACTTTCACCCCTGAGGGGTTGGCCTGGAGAATGTCCTCTGGCAGTCTAGTCCACTAGGTTCTAAGACTAAAGAGAACTGTCCCTCCTCTAGGCTGGAGAAGCAGCCACCAGCCAGCTGCTTCAAGGTGATGTGGGAAGCAGAATGACTCAATCCTATTTCAGGTCCAGGCCATAATTCTCAGTTCAGCTTTACCAGTAACCAAGTAGATTCTTTATTAGAATGTCTGCTTGAGAGTTTGAGGGATGAGAAGAAGAAAGTATAATTATATTGTTGTTGACACCTCAAATTTGCCAAAGAAATTATATGTAGCCAGTGATGGTGACACGTGCCTTTAATCCCCAGCATTTGGGAGACAGAGGCAAGCAGATCTCTGAGTTCAAAGCTATACAAAGAAATACTGTCTCAAGAACCCAAAAACAAGAAGGGGGGTGGGTTGAATTACATATAACTTAAGTTTACTTTGCCTGTCTTCTGTATCTGTCTCCCAAGATATATATACAACAGCCAAACACTTTTTAATTTCCCAGTCACTCACACTTTATCATGAGCCATTTTCATATATTTTTGCAAATTTGACTGCCACTTTTCAGAGTAGAATAACTGTTTGATGCTATTTCAAGCTTTGCCAATCACATGAATCATTTTAACAATATGGAATTTTGTGGGGGAAGGGGGGATTGAAACAGGGTTTCTCTGTAGCTTTGGAGACTGTCCTGGAACTCACTCCATAAACCAGGCTGGCCTTGAACTCATAGACATTTGCCTGCCTCTGCCTCCTGATTGCTGGGATTAAAGGTGTGTGCCACGACTTCGGCAACAATATGGAATTTTGATTTCACTGGGAAAGCATATCTAAGATTATAAAATTTTGGTCAAGAACTACCTTTCTTTTCTTTGAATATGATATATGCAACTCCTTTGGTTCTTGATGGATATATCACCTCTTCCACGTGGCCACCCTCATTCTGGAAATAATGCTTCACCAGCTGGTCTTTTAAAAGGCCAACTGGAAGACCAGAGACTACAATTGTTCTCTCAGAGGCCGTGGGTTCTCTGATCTTCAATGCTGATGCCTGCAAAAAAAACAATTAGATACTCTTTAAATATGAGTCTGCTGAAAGGTACCATCACAGCCTCCTTCCACAGAGGTGACTAGCAGGAACATGTCTGCCTCACTTTGTCTACCACATAGATCTTTGTCAAATTTGAGAGTTATGTGTACTACTACTAAGTAGAAAATATTAGTAAATATTTGATATTAAGAAGGCCCAAAATATAGAAAGAGTCACCAAAAAAGGAAGGGTTTGAGATGGGCTTTTACTATGTCAATTTAATGTAATGAATCTTCTTCTATCCCTCCAAGCAGCTCTCAAATAATGACAGAGACTTTTTTTTTTTTTTTTTATGAATATAGTGTTCTCCTGCATGTTGCCTGCTGGCCAGAAGAGAGCACCAGATCTCATTACAGATAGTTGAGCCACCATGTGGTTGCTGGAATTGAACTCAGGTCCTCTGCAAAAGCAGCTACTGTTCTTAACCTCATCTCTCCAGCCTCGTGAGACTTCTTATTAATTATGAAAATTCAGCCTATAGCTTAGGCTTGTCCCACTAGCTCTTATAACTTAACCTACTTTTTTTTATTTAAGTTTATATAACAAAGTCCAATTAAATGAAAACAAACATTTATACACAATATTTGGGAATTTGGGCGTCGTTCTTTCCAAACTACTTCCTGCTGATAAGGGGCGCTGTCTTGGGGGATTCGAAGAAGATTCAGATATCCTAGCTGTAGTCTGTAGGGCTGAACTTAACCTACTTTTATCAATCTATGTTTTATCATGTGGCATTTTACCTTTCTTTCATTCTGTGTTTGACTCCCTCCATGTCTCAATGCCATCTCTTCTGAACCCTGATTATCTCCTCCTACTTCCTCTCTCTGCCCAAAAATCCTACCTATACCTCCTGCCTACCTATTGGCCATTCGGCTTTTTATTACATCAATCATAGCAATATTCTATCATACAGTATATAAATATTCCACAACAACTTAGCTGGCCTTGAGCTTGCTAATTAGACCTGGCTGACTTCAATCTCAGAGATCCTCCTGCCTCTGTCTCCCAAGTGCTGAGATTAAAGGGATATGCAAACACTCTAGAGTATAGAGTTTAAAGTGAGTAAGTCAGTAAGAAAGGCATCCCTCCTATTGTCAGAACCAGGAGAAAGTCTTGCAATAATGCCGTGGCTGCATACACTACACTACTTCCACCATCTGAGGTGACACAGTGACACTGAGGACATGCTCCTACAGATTCTGCTGCCATGTGAAGGACACAGCCAAAATCCTTCATTTGTCATCTAATACTCTTGAATCCACTTCTGCTTCACACCTTCATTCATCTCCCACCCCGGGTTAGCCCAAAATGTGCACAGTTAGCCCCATCTATAACTGCAGCGAAATTCAGACCCAATCTATCTTCATCAGCTGAGGGAGGACAATGTCTCCTGGGCTGGACTGACACTTAACAAACCTGAAAGGAACTTTGGGTTCTCAATGCAAGGACTGCACTTGGAAAAGACTCCTCTAGGGAAAGAGCCTACTGCTGGCTTCCCAAAGTGGAGCAAATGAAGGGTCTGTGCTCACACCCTGTTCACCTTAAAAATGAAAGGGCAAAAACAAAATCAGTTCATTGGTGCAGGAGCTTTCATCCAATTTCTGGAAGACAAAAATACACAGAGAAACAAGCCTAGAATAAGGAAAGAGGGGTTGTGAGGTAAAGATGACAGTCTGCATGGCAGGACCCTCGGGTATGAAAAAAGGAACAAACACAACAGGTCATGGATGGCTACTAGGAAAACAATTGCTCCAGCTTGTTCCCCACACTGTCTACCCACAACTTATACATACACAAGCTTGAGCATAAAAACCCATAGTGGCAGACACTCATACAGAAGGCCATTCTACTTAAGAAAAAAAAAAAAACAAAAAACCTAAATTAACTCTAGAGACTATAGTTAGCCTGGGCACACATGAGCCTCACCCCCTCTTTTCTGGCATTTAAGAAGCCCCAGCCCAAGGATCATGAGCAAATAATCTTAAGTAAAAGGGGGAAATGAAAAGGAAAAAGAAATTTTGTCCATCACTAGAAACATTTCCCTTTATGTGGAAAAGGAAATATTACACATAACATGAGACCAAAAGAAATTTTAGCACACAAGTAGACCCTGCTGACATAGTATTTGCTCTTTATAATGCACTGCTGTTGGGTTTTAACTTTGAGACTAAATGTGCTAAGTCTTCAAAAATACCAAAAATTGCTAAATGGACACAGAAAAAAAGAAAGAAGAAAGAAAATTCCCAACAGCGACAATGTAAGAATAAAGCCAGTGTTAACAGAAACTAAGAGGGAAAATGACAGGGTTACATTGCAAAGAATCATGTAATGTTATACACTGTTTAAGTATGTTATAGAAGTTACAAAAACAGCCCAAAGAAAAATTTTAAGTATGGTCCCAGTACAGCTTCCAAAGTTGAAAGTGAAGAAAGCAATCGGATGTTTCCCCCTTACTTATAGAATTCAGAAACAACTGAGGCAATGGTGATGGGCCAGAGGATTCGGTTCTCAGAATCTCTGCGTTTCATCCAGTTCCAGTTGCAGATGGCACACGAGCTCCTATCTAATTCCAATATATGCATGAAGTTCTCAGCACATATACCTTATCACTTCAACCATTCATTAAAAAAAAAAAAAAACAACCAAAAAAACAACAACAACAAAAAAACTGTGTTGACTAAACATATGTTCCACACCCGGCAATGTGGTGAGTAGTACTAGAAGTGGAAAGCAGAAAGAAAACTGTTACCCTGAAATTCTGTTCTCTCCAAAACAAGCACTGTAGGGGGTTGGAAAAAAGGCTCACTACTGCCTGTAACTGCAGTTTAGAGGGATCTGACACCCTCTTCTGACCTTTGAGGACCAAGTATGCATGTGCTGTACATACATACACACAGACAAATCACACACATACAATAAAATAAATTTAAAAAACAAAACTGTACTGTGAACTCTTTCTACCATGGAACACTTGGGCAGGCTTTACAATTCCGATTATGGGAAAGGTACTTCCAGCTGGTGGGTGAGGAGGTAGACATAAAAGTCATTTCAAAGGAGTGTGGTTTGCATGAATGAGGGCTCTTTATTGCTCTACAGAAGGAAACGGAATACCTCACTGGAAAACACAGATCACCCACAATAAAATCCTAAAACTACAATAAATGCCATCCAGGATTAGAAGCAAGAGAAAAGAGGCTCCACGGATGAGAGGCTGAGGTAGAATTGGGATTGATCAGGCAAAGCATCAAGTAAAAGAAATTTTCAGCACACAAAGTGATGGGGGTGGGGGGTGATCATTGTACTGACAGAATGCAAGACAAAGGAAGACCTCCTGAAAATAAAACGCTCAGAAATAGAAAAAGTAAAAACTTACTGGCTCTGTGACAGTGAAGACACTTAAATGGAAGTAAATGATTTGTCTAGATGGCACAGCGAATAGATGAAGATACATCAGACCGAAGTATTCCTCCTGCCCAGTCCCCAGAGGCTTAATATAATTGTTCCAAGATAATTCTCCCTTACAGGGGGTTGGGGGGGCAAAATGACCAAAAGGACTTTCAGACTTACTGGCTTTTATCTCTGTGGTAGCCTGTTCTGACAGCCTACACCAGCCTCAGTGGTAAAGGCTGGTGATCCACCATCCTTTCTGTGTTTATCAATATCAAAGACAAAAATCCATTTAAGCTCAGGAAAGGTCCGCACCTCATCAGCACTAATGCATTTCGTAATCCAAGTGCCAATGCAACCTTTATCTTTAGAATCAAAGAAACTCCCTGAGTTTTGTTTTGCAAGACTTCACTACATTCTATGATCTTGGGAACCACTAAAAGGCCCCGTGCCTTCTTCCTGAGCTCATTTGTGTCTAAGGACATATGGTTACACGGCTTCTGGAACCAACTAAGAACAGAAAGTTATCAGTCTCTGTGTAAAGAAGAAAAAGGAGTGCCCCGAAGAAAGTTAATCCATTAAAAGACTTTGAAATAGGCAATTTCAGCAGAGACATGAAGCTGGTGGCATTTTACCATTTCCATGCTCTACTTCAAGAGAGTCTGGGCCCTCATGTCAGAAAGAAAGAGAGAGAGAGAGAGAGAGAGAGAGAGAGAGAGAGAGAGAGAGAGAGAGAGAGAGAGAGAGAGAGAGAGAGAGAGAGAACATGGTGTAAAGTAAAACTTACTCTTTTAAAAGAGGCACTAAGAAATACATAGTTCACTTACTGTTTTAGTTTCTATTTGCTTTCTCAATCACCAGTCACCAGGTAACACACACACAAACAGGTGAAACATACAGACGCAATACAGTAACTGCTCAAAAACACAGCCCTCTGGGTCTCTAAACAAAAACCCTGAGCCCTGAGCAAAGGCCGGAAGAAAGAGGCAGCCATCCGACGCCCTAGATTTGGACCCTTCTTGCTAGCTCCTTCCAGTAGTTAACTATGGCCTCCATTTCTGAACCACTGTCATCTTCCTCATCCACAAACCCAGGGGTCCTTTGCCGGTTCAGCCCGTGTCCCCACGCGTGGGAGCCAGGCCTGCCGCACCCGCGACAGCCACTTCGGGGCGCGCGATCACACAGTACACGTACTCTGGAACCCTCGGCGAGCCTCCCTGCACCGCGACCCGGAGGAAAGCGAGTTGCCATCTCGCTGAGGAGATGCTCGTGCAGCGGGAAGCCTAAAGCCAGGGCCGGCAGGTTTCGCTTTCGCTTTCAGTTCCCGTCACCCGGGAGACAGAGCGCGGAAGGGTGGGATCCTGTGGCTGCCCCCCGGCCGGATAGGACTCCCGAGTCTATGCGGCTCCTGCTGCCGGGCAGAAATCTGGGTTTCTCCAAGCGGTTCTAGATGATTTTGGGCCCGCGCCCCAGCGCTTTTTCAAGCCAATCTCCAGCAACTCCTTCCCACGGCAGGGTTTTCCCTGCATACCCGCTCATCACCTGCGGAGCGCAGAGCAGAGCGGCAGAGCAGAGCGGGAGGCACAATCCTGTCCACCCAACTTGCCACCTGGTCCCACGCTGGGGTCTGAGACAAGGAAACCTACCGCGGGCCTCAAAGAGAAATAAAAAAAAAAAAAAAAAAAAAAAAAGCAGACAGGCAGAGCTTGAACTCATTTGTAAAGAAATAGAAACAGAAATCGTGAAACACCAACTTTGAACCAATTTGCCATAACTAGCAGATAACCCGACATTAGCACAAGCTGGTTTAGCAGCAAGCGTTTTTAAAGAGTTGGGCCTCTGTCGGGAACTCAGAACACGGGTCCCACAGTGCAACACCTTGGCATGCCCTGGACTTGAAGCCCAGTCCCTGAGACCCCTTTCCATTCTTTTCTCTCCTGGATCTTAGCTTTCCCAAGGCCGTGTAAAATAGACACCTGATGTCCTCCCAAACAAGCCTAGAAACCTAGAAATGTCTTCTACTCCCCTCTCTGGACAGACCAAAAAATCCATACAGGTTGGGATCCTGGGAAGGGGACCCTCTGTTGAGGAACTACATCCATCCTGTATGCCTGTCTGTGGCTTTTCTTGATTGCTAATTTGTTGGTTTGTGGGCTTGTATTTTCTTTTTGTTTGTTTGTTTCTTTCTTTCTTTTCTTGTTGCTCTTGTGTTGTTGTTGTTTGATTTGGTTTGGTTTTTCAACACAGAGTATCTCTTTATAGCAGCCCTGACTGTCCTGGAACTAGCTGTGTAAGACCAGGCTGTCCTCAAACTCACAGAGATCCACCTGCCTCTACCCCCCTAGTGCTCAGATTAAAAGGCATGAACCACCATCACCCCGATGTGGGCATTTTCTTGATCGCTAATTTATGCAGGGGAGCCGGGGCTACCGTGGG